GAGGGGAGGGGAGGGGAAAGAAACTCAGAGCATCATGGGGCCCCCCAGCAGCCTAGGCCTATAGCAGCATAACTAAGGGAAGGCTCAGGGTCACCTGATCCAGCCCTAACTATAAGCTTTATCAAAAAGGAACGTCTTAAGTCTAATCTTAAAGGTAGAGAGGGTGTCCGCCTCCTGAACTGAGACTGGGAGTTGGTTCCATAGGAGAGGAGTTTGATAGCTAAAGGCTCTGCCTCCCATTCTACTTCTGTGGACTCTAGGAACCACAAGTAAACTTGCACTCTGAGAGCGAAGTGCTCTGTTAGGATGATAAGGCTCTACGAGGTCTTTAAGATACGATGGAGCCTTGTCATTAAGGGCTTTGTATGTTAGGAGAAGGTTTTTAAATTCTATTCTGAATTTTACAGGGAGGCAGTGGAGAGAAGCTAATATGGGAGAGATATGATCTCTCTTGCTAGTTCCTGTCAGTACTCTGGCTGCAGCCTTTTGGATTAACTGGAGGCTTTTTAGGGAATTATTGGGATATACTTATAGTAAAGAGTTACAGTAGTCCAGCCTGGAAGTAACAAATGCATGGACCAGTTTTTCAGCATCACTTTGGGACAGGATGCTCCTGATTTTTGCAATATTGCACAGGAGAAAGAAGGCAGATCTAGAGACTTGGATTTTGTGTGATTTAAAGGACATATTCTGATCAAAGATGACTCCAAGGTTCCTCACAGTAGTACTGGAGGCAAGAGCTATGTCATCTAAAGTAACTATATGATTAGACAGCAGATTTCTAAGGTTTTCAGGCCCAAGCACAATAACTTCAGTTTTGTCAGAGTTTAGAAGTAAGAAGTTACAGGTCATCCAGGCCTTTGTGTCTTTAAGACATGCTTGAAATTTTACCAGCTGATCTGATTCATTTGGCTTCATAGATAAATATAACTGAATATCATCTGCATAGCAATAGAAATTTATGTTGTGCTTCCTGATAATATTGCCTAAAGGGAGCATGTATAAAGTGAAGAGAATTGGACCTAACACAGAGCCCTGTGGAACGCCGTGACTAACTTCAGTTTGTGTGGAACATTCGTCATTACCAAGACCAAACTGAAATCTTTCTGATAAATAAATATAAATCTTTTAAAGTGGAAATTGACCCCAAACCTTGGGATAAGAAGTATTGTTGTTTCAGGATTGATCTGCACATGACTAGTGGACTGCCTGCAACAAAACAATAAATGTAGCTAATGGCATTACTACTGCTACTATTATAGCTAGTTACCAGCCGTATAGAGAACGAGATCAGAATTCAAGCTGCACAGTACCACAGTAAGTACAACACAAGTCAGTCCCTGGAACATGCATGAATTAATAATGATACTGTCAGAG